GAGGTGACAAACAAGATCAGGAGAGATTTTAAATCTCATCTTTGAAGAGAATTGTGCATCTCTAAAGGTGAGCATAATCCCGTGCAAATATATCCCGAGCTAAGTGGATGGGGAGCATTTAAAAGGCTGAATAATGAAGATATTTAAAATTCCTGGAGGTGCCCAAGGAAGGGCTGGAGGTGCCCTGGGCTGGGAACAGGGTGGGGATGGGTCTCAGCTTGGACTTGGTGACCTTGGAGGGCTTTTCCAACCTCGGTGATCCTGGGATTCCTCACAGCCGTGCCCCCTGTGCCCTCCTGCCTTCAGCAGGGATTTTCAGCTCCCCAGAGAAGGTTTTGTTCCTTTGTGCAGCATCACCCAGCTCAGCACACTGTCCCCAGCCACCCCAGGTGACCCCGCGCCAGTCCTGGCGTGGGTAATTAATCGGGTAATTAATCGGGTGGATGTTTACTCCGAAAGCGTGTGACAAGCCCAGCAGCGATGTCACAACCCCCCCCTGCCACCGCCAGCACCGGAATTGTCACATCTCAATTGCAGCACTTCCCATGCAAATGGAGCCTCCACATCCCTGCTCTGCTTCCCAGGGGAGAGGCTCCGAGGGGAAAATCCACCCAAACCCACTCTAATTCTTCATTTTAAATATCTTCCTTATTCAGCCTTTTAAATACTCCCCATCCACTTAGCTCGGGATATATTTACACAGGATAATGCTCACTTTTAGATATCCAGAATTCTCCTCAAAGATGAGGCTTTAAAAGCTTTAAAATCTCTCCTGATATTTTGTTTGTCACCTCGTCAGGCCCTGCAAAGCCTCCTCTGCCTTTCTCCATCCGTGCAAACCAAACCCACCCCCTCCCAAATATGCAAAAGAGGATTTTAATAAAGGAATAATAAAGGAAACCTTTTGCAACAAAGGCTTTTCAGCCAGGTGGGATCAGGGCTGGCATCCAGAGGGAGAGACAGACAAACACCTACCCCAGCAGAGGCTGTTAAAGTGGGTGTGTGCAGGGAACATGTAGGAACAAGGGAGGAGGGAAGAGAGAGGATTCACCCTCCATCCAAAGGCAGAAAAGCAGCTCAGCCCATGGGCAGCACAGCCTGAACGTGCACATGGACAGAGGTTTTGCAGAGCTGCCCATCACAAATCACTTCATCGCAGGATTTTTGTTTTTCATTAAGCATTTCAGAGGGTGCTGGTTGTTCCTGCTGAGAATATTACAGCAGGAACCTGAATTCCTACGTCAGGGCATCAGGAATGTACAGAGGAGAAAAAAAAAAATCCCCCCCAGAACAAAAATAATGTGATTTTTCATACAGTGCAAATCTGTGTTTCCTAAAAGCTCAGCTCTGTTTCTGCCCAAACCCAGCCTGACCCTCACCCCTGCCCCAGGTGATTGCCACTGAAGACCCTCACCCAATCATATCCTCTTTTCTTACACCTTCAACACTTGAAATTTTCTCCCTTTCTTAGAATAAAAGCACAGAGAGTGTTAAAAAAATGCAGAAATTACTAAAACTCTGGAAGATAATGAAAATATCCCACTCTCTTGTGTAAAAATCACTTTCCCCAGCCCAGGTTTCACTGGGTAATAAATGAAACAGTTCAGTCCATGGGGAACTTCCTGTGGGAATCAGGAGGCACCGACTGAAGCAGCATCCACAAATCCTAGAAAGTCATTTTTGGGATCTCCCTGTGCTTGCTGAGCAAGCTGGAACCTGCCCTGCCCCGGTGGATAAAAGAGGACTCGATGCAGCATTATTAGAGGGTCCAAATTGAAAATTGCTATTGAACAGCCAGGGATGGGGCTGGAGGTGGACAGCTCATAGCCAGCAGTGCCTGTTTGCAGAACGAGACTCATGAGAGCTGTTTGAAATTACAGCAACAAAGGATTCTTTTGAAACGCCAGGAACCTGTTGAGGTTGGAAGCAGAACCACAAAATTCCCAGTTAAACAAATACAAAGCCTTGGAGACCTTGTAGCGTCCACATTCCAAGGGGTTTTGTTGCTAGATTTGAAAATCCACTTCTCCTCTCATGACTGAAGGTTTCATTTTGGCCCTTTCTGTGCCACAGAAAGGTCAATTCCTCACCAGATTTGGAAATCCACTTCTCATTGCTGAAGTTTGCATTTTGGCCTTTTGTATGCCATAGAAAGGTCAATTCCTCACTGGATTTGAAAATCCACTTCTCATGTCTGAAGGTTTCATTTTGGCCCTTTCTGTGCCACAGAAAGGTCAATTCCTCACCAGATTTGGAAATCCACTTCTCCTCTCATGGCTGAAGGTTTCATTTTGGCCCTTTCTGTGCCACAGAAAGGTCAATTCCTCACCAGTGTAGGTCAACACCTGTACCAAACCCAGGCCAATTCCTGCTTCACTCTGGATGTAATCACAAGTTATAAACAAGAAGATAAAGCTACCCAACATAAAGGTTGGAGGAGAATAGAAAGAGAAGCAATCTCTGATGTGATTTACTGGCCAATAAATGCAGTGAGTCACTGCAGTAATTTCCTGTTTGCAGGAGGCCAAATTCTCCCACCTGGAATTGGAGGAGTTCCTGAGCTGGTGGAGCTGGAGCTGTTCCTGAGCTGGTGCCTCATCCTAGAGAATTGCACAGGATATTTACAGGGTAACACAGGGATTCACAGCACTGAGGGGCTGGATCCTGGCTCCTCCTGGGCTCGTGAATCAATGCAGCAAAGCAGTGAAACGGAAGGGAAATATTTCCCCAGGGAGAGCAGGGGGTGTCCTTGGGGGAAGCAGGCACCTTGTGGCTGTCAGAGAGGCAGAGCACAGCCCAAAAGTGAAAGGTTATCTGACAAATCCCTTCCCCTTGGAGTAACTGAGGAATAAACTCACTGCTGGCTCCCCGTGCCTTCAGTCCCTGAGCTGCAAGGGTTTCACAGGGATAACAGAGGGCTGCCCCTGCAGGTGAAGCCTTCTGGAATTTGCAGGCAACCCCAGCGAGGGGAGAGATGTGTGGCTCCACTATATTATATTATATATTATGTTATATATATCCTATTCTATTCTATTATAATTATATTATATTATGGAATGCTATACTAAACTACACTAAAGAATAGAGAAAGGCTACAGACAGAAGGCTACAAAGAATGATAATCCAATCTCATGACTCCCTTCCAGAACCTCGACACAGCTTGACCCTGATTGGTCATTAAGTTAAATAAATTCACACGAAACCAATGAAGCAATCACAATGAAACAATCACCTGTTGGTAAACAATCTCCAACCACATTCCAAAGCAGCACAACACAGGAGAAGCAAATGAGATAATACTGTTTTTCTTTTTCTCTGAGGCTTCTCAGCTCCCAGGAGAAGAATCCTGGGTAAAGAGGATTTTTCAGAGAATGTGATGGTGACAAAGCCTGGCTCCAGCCATGCCTCTCCCTTATCCATCGTGTTCCCAGCTCCATTAATTAAAGGCAGCAATAATCTGTGGGGCAGGCAGCCAGGGAAGAGCCACTGCAATGCAGATCAGCTCCTGATTCCCTGCTTGTTCTACAAGCACCAAATCTCCTTTGATCAATACCTGAATAATCCTTTCAACATCCCTGAGCCTGTGCCTGCTGCTGCCAGGGCAGGGAAAGCTGGAGATGGGATTGGGCAGGCCAGGGAGAGGAGCCACTGAAATTATAACACAAATGTGATGTTCTCCTTCTAAATCTGCCCCAGAAAGTCTGGCTGCTCTCTGCCCAGGCTGATGGCAAAGGTGATATTGCTTGGGATTAAATCTGGAATGCTTTCCAGGACACAGCCAGGGAAGAAGATGCAGCTGATAACATCGTAATCCTTTTTCCAATCTAGGTGCTTAAGAGAAATATCTGCTTGTTCAGTTGAAATGGCACAGCCCACAGGGTGAAATACATTTCCCAGGGACATGGGAACGGAGTTTAGATCTGACACTGAGATCTGGTGACAAGGAAATAGATTTCCTATAGGAAGTGTCCCCGTTTGTCACGGCTTAACCCCTGTGGCACCACACACCCCACAGTCCCCAGCTCACCCCTCTCCCTGGAAGGATGGGGAGAGAGAGCTGTGGGCAGGTAAAAAAATAATGCTTGAGATAAGAACAGTTTAATAAATGAAATAATGGAAAGAAATGAGAGAGGGGGGAGATAAATAAATAAATAAACTCCAACTAATAAACACAAGGTCTCCCCCAGCTGCTGCCCTGAAATTGGTGCCTCAATCCCCCAGTTTAAATCCTGGGTCCATCTTCCTACAGGATGGGATGTCCCTTTGGCCGTGCTCCCTCAGGGCTTCTTCTGCACCTCCTGCCTGGGAAAATTCCTTCATTTGGGGGCAGCACAGCTGGGCAAGCACGGCAGCATCAGTTTGGGATCAAGAACCTGTTAAATCCAAAACCCAGCACTGCACCGGCCACTGAGAACAAAACTCACCCTATCCCAGCTGAAAAGCACCTTTGAGAATTCCCAAAACATTTAATTAAGGATCTCCTGCTACTTTAGTCATTTGCACAACCCTAAGTCAGAGATTGCTTTTCCCTTCCCAGTAAATAAGATTTTTTTTCTTTTCTGTTTCACGCAGCAGGGAAAAAAAAAAGAAATCAACTTGAAGTTAAGCTTTTTCTTGGGAAAACTCATTTCCTCATCAGCTGCTCGGGGTTGTAAGGAAAGAGGGTGGAGCCTTCCCAGGCTGCCGTCCTCCAAACCATACCTGAGTATAAAGAGCAGAGCAGAACTGCAGCCAAGAAACTCTCAAAAGCTGCTTCCAGTGCCTGCTGGGATTCCAAGGCTGGTTTTATCCTTCCCCTGCTGGAACTTGCTGCTCCAAAGACAAGAGGGAAGCTGGACTCACCTAATTACATTGGAGGATTAATTACATTGCCATGGACTCCATGTGATACTGGATTGATTTTTAATTTTTTTTTTTTTTTTTTAACACAACCGAGCAGGGTTTTGTCCTCCCCTCTTCTCTTTCATCTTTTCCTGCACACACACACAAACACAGAGGAGATGTTGCAAACAGTCTGCATGAGTCCTGAGCTGCTTGTCAACCAAAACATGAGTGAAAGTGAAATCTGTGGCTACAGCCCAGGCCAGGGATCCCCGCTGCCTGGAGAAACTGCCAGCCCCAAGAGCTGCTTCCAGCAGAGCCCATCTCTGCCAGACTCTGGATTAACTGAGCTGAACGTGGCAAGTCCCAAGATCTACCACCCTCCTCCTCCTCCATGCAACCCTCCAGGGATGCCTGCTCCTGCTGGTAAGAGAAAAATCTTTATTCCCATTTCCTACTTGGTGCTTCTTGCACCAGCTGGTGCAGCCCAGTGACCCGGGGCTCTGAGCTGGACAATCCCAGAGGAGTTCAGCACATTCCAGGCTGGGCTGGATTTTGTTGTGTTCTGCTGCTGAGGTCAGAAATTGCCCTGGTTTCCAAAGGATGCCCAATATTCCATCTTTTCTGCCCATCTCCGGCGCTTTGCTGCTCATTTGCGTTCTGAATTGCAAGTTTGGTTCTGAGCTAAGAGCAGGGTGATAGATGTGACCTTCTGAGTTATTAACATTTCAAAGTCACAGCGAAGTGTGTCTGGTGAATCACTGCCTTTGCAGAGCCCTTCAGTTCCTAGGAAATATCTGATCTGTCACTGGGAACTCTTCCCAGATAACAACAGATTAGCAATCTTACTGGCTTTTAAAAGAAAATAAAAAAATAAAATAAAAAAAAAAGCTTTTAAAAAAATAGAATAAATAAAGCTTTTCAAAGAAACCTTTAAAATACTCTTGAAACATTAAATAATTCATTGTCAAAACACCAATATATGAAAAAAAGAATCATTTCTAGAACAGTCTGAGACACAAACTCTGCTTTTCGAGGTCTCAGCGTTTTGATTATTCAGTGCTAGGCTAAACACTGAGAAGTGCCAGAAATCTCAGCAGGAAGCAAGAGCCCCATCTCCATTGCAAAGGCACCATTTGCTGCTCGGGATCGCCTCCCTCCTGCTGGAGGGGTGTCAGCTCTCGTTGCCTGGAGCGGGGAAAGGAAACAAAATCACGCAACAAGAAACCACATCTTGTGGGGCTGGTTCCCCTGCCAGGACTGCTCCTCTCAGCCATCCCGGGAGCTGCACCGTTCCCATCTGCTGGGCTCCGCCGATCCCACACGCAGGTTTTGGTCAGGAATGTTGGTTCAGGCCCCTCCTGGTTTATTTAACAGCACCAGGAGATGCTGGCCCAATGCGCCTCTTTCATTTCAGGCTGTTGTGTTGTTTCATCCTGAGTTGTGTTTGATCACTAGAGCTGGTTTTGTTCCTCCTGCAGTGGGAGCAGAAATCTCCTCCTTGCTCTCAGGATCCCACACTCTGCTTCCCTTGGAGCTGGGGCTTTCTCCATGGTGTGTTTCGTTGGGAAAGCCCTGATGTGATGCATGAAATCTGTAATTTTTAACGGCAGTGTTTGTTACTGAATGCATTTTAGATAAAGGTTATTCCAGGCAGGGGGACACACAAGGCAAGGACGTGAATGCCAGAGTTACATAAAAGGTATTTCAAAAGCCAATGGATTTAAGCTCCTAATCTGGGCAAGTCTTTCAAGTTTGGGGATGCAGGCACCAGATGCAAGGAGACCTAACACAAACAATCACAGAGCAGCTTGTTTTGACAGAGAGAGAGCCTGTTTGGACAACGAGGTATATTCTCAAATAACTGTTCCATTTCAGTGCAGAAAATCATTGTTTCGCTTTGAAGCACACAAAAACTTCCAAGCACACTGAGAGCCACGGGGGAAAGCCACTGGACAGAGCATCCCTATCTTAATTTTGAACAAATTCTGCTCCTTGTTGTTGCACTGATAACAATTTCACCAACCACAGGACGGGAAGGTGCAAAGGCAGGTTTACCACAACACAGGAAAATCAGAGCCTGAGAGGGGCAGAGACCTAAACACTGCTGACACGTTCCCCAGAAGCAAATCCACGCTCTGTGGCATGCAGGAAAACTGGGCAGGAATTCATGAAAGGAATTACTGAGCAGAGCCAAGGAGCAGGCAGGGAGATGTGGAAATTTCCCACCAGTGATGATGAACGCGGGAATCAGAGCCCGTTCCCCAGGCTGACCTCATCCTCCCACCCTTCCCCAGCAGCTCAGACAATTGTGTTACTTTCAGCACCATGTTGTGACTTTTCCAGACTCTGAACTTAGCTCTGATCCCCCTCAGAAGCGCTACATGGGTGTGAGAGTGAAGATGCCCGTGCGGGAATTGCTGAGGAAAATCCGAATTTCCAAAGGCTTGGACCCAGCTCCCGGCAAGGTGAGGAATCCCCGGGGCTGGGAAAGCTCCTGCAGCATCCTGGGGCTCACAGCTGCACCCCACTGAGGGTTCTGGAGGGGGCACACCTGCAGCTGTTGCCTCTTCCAGCCACCCAGTCAATGCTTGTCAAAGTGGAGGATAAATTTCAAATTTCAAGCAGAATGAGGGCTGGGCTGGGGGCGGTTCCAAGGCAGTGACAGCAGGAACCCATCCGTGCCATGGGTGCTGCACATCATTCAATCAGGGCAAAGATGGCCCAAAAACCAGTAAAAATATTGCTCCAGAACCTGCAAAAAACAGCCCGAGGAGCTGATAAACTCCCAGGCTGGTGTAAAAATCTTTATAAAGCTGCCATGAATTATCCACTCGTGGAAATCCCTGCACCTGCAGCCCCTCCACAGCCCAGGAGGCAGCTGCACTCTGTTCCTGTTACAAAATCTGCCACAGTTTCACCTTCTCCTCCCTGTGCGAGCATCTCGCATTGAAGCTGGCTGCTTTTGTCTCCTCAGGAAGCCTCATCGGTGAAGATGGTAGCCAAAGGATCCTCAGGAAAAACAGGTTTGGAAACGCCTCGCTTGGTAGCAGAGCCTCCTTTCCTAGGAGGATCATCAGTGTGAGGTACCCAAAGAGCCAGGGCACCCCTGTGCCGTGGCCAGTGCTCCCTGCTGGGTCCCTCCCATGCCAGGAGGCCGGCCAGCTGTGCATCACCACCCTGCCTGCCTCTCCTGGCTCTTTTTTGGGGCAGGGCTGATGGGAATCTCTGCTCTGTGTGCGCCTCTCCCTCAGCTCCGAACCTTTTCTTCCCTTTTGCTTCCAGCAGAGAAGAGGAGATCTCACCCTTATACAGAGAAACAGCTTAGACAGGTATGCAGAACACCTTGAGCCCCGCTGTGCCAGGCTCCCGGGGCAGAATTCCTGTTCTATCACCCAGGGAGAACAGGACACTTCATGTCTGCTTCCCTCCCCTTTCTTCCTCCCTGCCCGGCTTCTGTTGCTGTTCCAGAGCAAGCAGAGCGCCGGGCAAAGCCCCAGAGGCTTGGAGGACCTCGACATCCTGGTGGAGGTGCTGCAGGAGGATCTGAACCAGAGCCAGCTCCGGGAGGAGCCTCGGCATCCCGCGCCAGGCGGGTTTTGGCAGGGATTCTCCAGGGAGCCGCGGAGCTGCCGCTGGGAAAGCGTGGGGAGCAAGGATGGGGGCCTGCAGGGGAGGCAGCTGGGCCTGGCAGAGCATCACCCCCAGCCCTGTGGGGGACATTTCCCCCCAGTCCCGCGGGGACAGCCACAGCCTGCCCTCCACGGCCAGCGGGAAAGCGTCCAGAGGCGCGGCTCGCCCGGAATGTTCCCCGGGATGGGCGAGAAAGGGAGCAGCTGGTGGGTGCAGGGTGATCTCCCCAGCTGCCAGGGATGTTTCCCGAGGAATTCTCCAGCCCAGGGAGATCTCCTGAGGAATTCTCCACCCCACAAAGGTTTCCTGAGGGATTCTCCATCCCAGGATGGCTTCCTGAGGAATTTTCCATCCCAGGAAGGCTTCCGGAGGAATTCTCCATCCCAGGAAGGCTTCCTGAGGAATTCTCCATCCCGGGATGGTTTCCCGAGGAATTCTCCATCCCAGGAAGGTTTCCCGAGGAACTCTCCATCACAGGACGGTTTCCTGAGGGATTCTCAACCCCAGGATGGTTTCCTGAGGAATTCTCCATCCCAGGAAGGTTTCCCGAGGAACTCTCCATCACAGGAAGGTTTCCCGAGCGATTCTCAACCCCAGGAATGTTTCCTGAGGGATTCTCAACCCCAGGATGGTTTCCTGAGGAATTCTCCATCTCAGGAAGGCTTCCGGAGGAATTCTCCATCCCAGAAATGTTTCCTGATAAATTCTCCATCCCAGGAAGGTTTCCCGAGGAACTCTCCATCACAGGAAGGTTTCCTGAGGAATTCTGCCCCCCAGGGATGTCTCCTGAGGAATTCTCTATCCCAGGAAGGTTTCTCAAGGAACTCTCCATCCCAGGAATGTTCCCAGAGGAATTCTGCACCCCAGGAATATTTCCCGAGGAATTCTGCACCCCAGGAAGGTTTCCTGAGGAATTCTCCACCTCAGGAATGTTTCCCGAGGAATTCTCCACCCCAGGAATGTTTCCCAAGGAATTCTGCACCCCAGGAATGTTTTCTGAGGAATTCTGCACCCCAGGAAGGTTTTCTGAGGAATTCTGCACCCCAGGAAGGTTTCCCAAGGAATTCTGCACCCCAGGAAGGCTTCCCAAGGAATTCTGCACCCCAGGACTTGCCTGCACCCCCCAGCTTGGCAGAGATGCTGCTGGAAGCTCCCAGGGGCTCTGCAGATGTGGGGGGACATTTGAGGCTGACCCCAAATTCCTTCTCCAGGCAGGACCTCTCTGCCCTCTCCTTCTTCCAGTTCCAGCTGCACAGGGAGGAAAATCTGCTGAGGAACATCCCAGAGGAAAAACTGCTGGCTCCTGATGAAAATGGCAACAGGTCCTTGATTTTTTTCTGTCTAAATACATTGATTTTGGTCCCTGGGGACATCACCTTGCTCTGACCTCTGATCTAAAGCCTCTCTGCTCGAGGGGAAGCTCAAACTGAATCAACACACAGAATTGTAGGCAGATATTAAAAATAGAAATATTCCATATTCCTGAGCTAAAGCTGATATCAGAAGAAATTTGGGGTGTTAATTTAAGGATGAAGGTATGTGTAGGGATTTACAAGAAAATTAAAATCAAGCAAAACAAGTACTGGGGGAAAAATAAAAATATGCAAAAAAGACATTTTTTTTTCCATGCTGCAGACACTGTCAGGGTAATTATTTGTATTATGAACTGCTAATAAAAATGGATGAGAGGAATAGCCAAAATCCCAAACTAGAGCACAGAGTCCCAAAGTACTGGGAGTGGCTGAAGATGAAAGGAAAACAAAGATTTTCCTGCTCCCAGTAAAAACCAGGGGGGCTTGTGGAGAAAATAGTTATTTATAAGAAAAAAATTAAATTATCTAATTATCTGTGCAGTTTAGGTAGATTGGGATAGCTGGAATCAAATCAGATTGACAGAAAGCATGGCATGATTTATGAACTGTCTTGGGGAGAAAGAGAGAAATTCCTGTCCCAAATTTAAAATATTGATAACCCCACACAGGGAAAACCAAGCACAGCACTGGCCTCGTCCCTAAAGAGCCATGTTCCAATCAGAATTCTGATTCCCAGTGCAAGAATAAAATCAAACTTCACTTTTCAGCGGTTGTGTGACTCAGTAAAGAACAAGTAAGCCAACTATTGATGTATTTCCTGCCATTTTTTAAATGATACACAAAAATTTCTCATGCATGAATGAAATTGATCACAATTAAGAAATTAAGGGATTTCTACTCCCATGTTAAATCACAAGCAAAAATTTCCTCACTGCTAAACTCACTTTTATAAAGATTCTACACTCAAAAGAATGCTCAAAGGCAGGAGTGCAAGCTAAATAAAATCATTCTGAGTTCTACTGAATGGTGAAAAATAGGGTCAAAAATCCATTAAAAAAAACCCAAAACCAGACCAACCAAGCTCACAAGCAAAAATTTCCTCACTCCTAAACTCACTTTTATAAAGATTCTACACTCAACACTCAAAGGCAGGAGTGCAAGCTAAATAAAATCATTCTGAGTTCTACTGAATGGTGAAAAATAGGGTCAAAAATCCATTAAAAAAAACCCAAAACCAGACCAACCAAGCAACTGCATTGTTACTACAGAGAGCAATTAACCCTTGAATATCCCAAGATTTCAGCCTTTTCCTGCATTAGTATATTATGATTAAAATGAACTCTCCCTGTTCCTTTGGGGTGTTTTAACCCCTTCTTTGGGGTATTTTTAACCCCTCTTTTGAGGTTTTTTACCCCTTCCTTTGGGGTGTTTTAACCCCCTCCTTTGAGGTGTTTTTACCCCTTCCTTTGGGGTGTTTTTACCCCCTCCTTTGGGGTGTTTTTAGCCCTCCTTTGGGGTATTTTTCCTGCATTAGTATATTATGATTAAAATGAACTCTCCCTGTTCCTTTGGGGTGTTTTAACCTGTTATACCTTTTATATCTTTTATATTATATCTTTTAATATTATATCTTTATTATATATTACTACAATTACTATATTATATATAATATATTATATATATAATATTATTATATATTTTATCTTTCTCTTATTACTATATGATATCTTTCTTTATATCTTTTTATATGATATCTTTTAAAATGCACTCTCCCTGTTCCTTTGGGGTGTTTTAACCCCTTCCTTTGGGGTGTTTTAACCCCCTCCTTTGAGGTGTTTTTACCCCTTCCTTTGGGGTGTTTTTACCCCTTCCTTTGGGGTGTTTTTACCCCTTCCTTTGGGGTGTTTTTACCCCTTCCTTTGGGGTATTTTTAACCCCTCCTTTGGGGTGTTTTTAACCCTTCCTTTGGGGTGTTTTAACCCCTTCCTTTGGGGTGTTTTAACCCCTTCTTTGGGGTATTTTTAACCCCTCTTTTGGGGTTTTTTACCCCTTCCTTTGGGGTGTTTTAACCCCCTCCTTTGAGGTGTTTTTACCCCTTCCTTTGGGGTGTTTTTACCCCTTCCTTTGGGGTGTTTTTACCCCTTCCTTTGGGGTGTTTTTACCCCTTCCTTTGGGGTATTTTTAACCCCTCCTTTGGGGTGTTTTTAACCCTTCCTTTGGGGTGTTTTAACCCCTTCCTTTGGGGTGTTTTAACCCCTTCTTTGGGGTATTTTTAACCCCTCTTTTGGGGTTTTTTACCCCTTCCTTTGGGGTGTTTTAACCCCCTCCTTTGAGGTGTTTTTACCCCTTCCTTTGGGGTGTTTTTACCCCTTCCTTTGGGGTGTTTTTACCCCTTCCTTTGGGGTGTTTTTACCCCTTCCTTTGGGGTATTTTTAACCCCTCCTTTGGGGTGTTTTTAACCCTTCCTTTGGGGTGTTTTAACCCCTTCCTTTGGGGTATTTTTAACTCCTCCTTTGGGGTATTTTTAACCCCTCTTTTGAGGTTTTTTTACCCCTTCCTTTGGGGTGATTTTACCCCTTCCTTTGGGGTGTTTTTACCCCCTCCTTTGGGGTGTTTTTAGCCCTCCTTTGGGGTATTTTTACCCCTTCTTTGGGGTATTTTTAACCCCTCTTTTGGGGTTTTTTACCCCTTCCTTTGGGGTGTTTTTACCCCTTCCTTTGGGGTATTTTTAACCCCTCTTTTGGGGTGATTTTACCATTCCTTTGGGGATTTTTTACCCCCTCCTTTGAGTTTTTTTAACCCTTCCATTGGGGTGCTTTTACCCTTTCTTTGGGGTTTTTTTACCCCCTACTTTGGGATGATTTTACCCCTTCCTTTGGGGTGTTTTTACCCCTCCTTTCCCTCCTGATGGCTCCCAACTGAGTTCTCTTCCAGGCTGCTGCACAAGGCTGTTGCCCAGGGAAGGAGGGCTCTGACTTTTGCCCTGGCCCAGAGATTTGCATCCCTCAACAAGATCGACGAGAAGGATGCAGAGGAAAGGGTAGGAGGCTGATCTTCCACGGGAAAAAAGTCATTTTTTATCACCTGCAACCCTCTGTCAAACCCCAGCCAGGCAGCAAGCATCCTTCTGCTGTCCTGGAAAAGAAGGGAAAATGGGAATGGGGAGGGAATGATGGGAGCAGAGCCCCGAAATCCCAACTCCCCACTTCAGTATCTAAAAAATCTTGTTGTTTTTAAGCTATTTTTTGCCTTTCACTGCAACTCTGTGCCCTTCTTCCCTTCTCAGACTGCTTTACATCTTGCTGCAGAAAAGAACCAGCACCTGATGGTGAGTGACCTGATCTCCCTGGGGGCCAACGTCAACGAGCAGGACAGCTCTGGGAAAACTCCCCTCCACCTGTGTGCAGAGAACGGCTATCTGAGAGTTCTGGAGGTAAATTGGGGGTTTTTTTGTGGGGCCAAAGTGGGGTAAAAGCAGCTCGGGCACGTGCTGGTGTGTGAAATAACCCGGGGCGTTCCATACGGGAGCACTCTGTCTGCTCTGATGTGGTTACAGAGGGGTTTGGGGGAGGGAAGGGTGTTTTTGGCACTGCCAAACGTCAGGATTCACCTGGATGTCCTTAATGTCAGGTCCTGAAAAGCTGCAAGAGCAACGGGGTGTGCGTGGAGGTGGATGTGCCTGACCGCTGCGGTAAGAGGCACAGCCCAAGCACGGGGCTCGGATCCCAAATCTCCAAACACAGATTCGCTCCGGGAAGGGGGGTCAGGGCCTGGCTGTGACTTTCCCTGTGTCCCACGCAGGTCTGACCCCCCTGCACCGTGCTGCTCTGGCCCACACCGTGCTGGTGGCACAATCCCAGGGCGCTGCCGGGGACAGCGGCACGGGGAGGCTGCTGGGGCTGCGGAGAGCCCAAATCCTGGAGGGAATCCTCTGCCTGCTCCAGATGGGAGCACAGCCCCAGCTGCAGGTGAGGACCAAGCCCAGCAGGTCTCTAACCCGGCTTAAGTGTTCCTGTCCTTGTGCAACCTCGGGATTTGCTGTCATCTGCAGGTTCTGCATTCGTGTCCAGCCTCCACCCCCTGCCTGAAGCTGGAGGAGAACACAGAGCTCATGTGTTTGCTTCAGACCCAAAAACCCCGGGCACAGGATGTTCCTCAGGAGGTAACTATGGCTCATTTACACAGGCAGTGTCTAATTCCAAGATTAAGCAAATAGTCAGTGCTTAAAACCAAAAAAAAAAAAAAAAAAAAAAAAAAGTTACAGCTCTTCTCTCTTTTCCAGGGTCTTTTTTGCCTTGGCCAGATAAGAGTTCCTACCAGAGTACGTGTAATAAATGTAACAACATAACAAGATTTCAGTTAGAAATACAGATTTAAAGCCCCATTTCAAGTCACTGAGGTTCTCCCAGAACCCAGCAGAGAAAAAAAAAAAATAATTTTAGCCCAGTTCAACTGGAAACTGACTGTTCTGGTCTCTTCCCCTGTCCAGAGCTGCAGCCTGCTGGATGCTCCCCGAGGAATCCCCGCTCCCCCAGCTGCAGATAACTTGCCTGGACTTTGCTCCTTGTCATCCCCAGACCTCCTTGATGTCCTTCTCAAAGGTATTTTGGGGTAGGAAGTAGAGTTCAGGCAGCTGGGGGTTTGTGTGACTCAGCAGCTGGGATGGGGTGGCTCAATCCCGTCCCTGCTCTGCCATCCCACGGAATTTGGGGTGGAAAAAAACCCAAAACCATCGAGTTCAAACTTCCTACAGCGTGGGGCTGATGGAAAAGGTGCTCAGCACCTCGTCCCAGTCTCTGGATTTCATCATTTTCCTTGCAAACCTCCTTCCTCACCCAAAGCCAGCCAGAAAATGTGGGAATGAATTCCTGATTTAGCCTGGGATTGAGATTTGCTGCTTTGTTGCCTTCCAGGGAAATGCTGAGAGCTCTCACCCACCTGCTGCAGGAGAATAACAAACACCAAAATACAGAATATTTTGTATTATATCTTGAACTGACTGCTGGAAAGATCTCACCTGGACCCAGAATTAAGGAGCAAACTGGTAAATGAGGGAAATCCTCAGTGCAGGCTGCACCAGGAATTCAGTGTTAGGTGCTCCAGGAAGAATTAGATCTTTATTTTCTCACAGATTTGTGATTCTCTGCTCAGGTCTGAGGTCAGTCTGAAGCTCTGATGATTTTTCAGGCAGGTGTTTTTAGCCCAAGAAAAAGATTTTAACCATCCAGGGCCAAGTCTTGGGGGTTTCAGCCTTAAATTAGTCTCTACACTCCAAATTCAATGTTCAGATAGACTGAAAATCTCAGTCATTTTAAACACAAGCTCTGGGATTTCAGAGCCTAAATATTAAAAATATTTCATATTTCCTGCAGTCTGGCTCTGAATTTGGCCAAGGCTGGAGTGGTCACACTTTAAGGCAGCCTCGAGGTGAAGTCCTTCCAAAGTGTAACATCGTGCTGAGCATGTTTCTTCAACAAAAATCAATCTTTTTATTGATGCAATCAGAACTTTTCACCCATAGTGGATTGTAGGTGAAGTCTGGGACAAAGTGTTTCGAGTCAGCTCCTTTCTAACACATCTAACAGAAGATTTTACCTTTATAAAATTGAAATCTATAACAGCAGCTTTTGGAGGATCATTTTTTTAAAAAGTTGGGAGCATAACGAGGAGCTGAAATGATCCTGTACTGCCAGAAAACCAAGTTATTCAGTAGAATCACTGCAAACTAGATCATTTTTATTTTTAATTATTTCTTCCCAGACTTACTCTCATTTAATTTTAACTTCTGGTTGCGAGTTTGCTGGTTTCTATGAAACTTCCCTGGTTGCTACATAGGGAGCAATTCTACTTTTACAGAAACTAAAACAAAAAAAAAAACCAAACTGATCCAGCAGCCCCTCAGGTGTCTCCTGTGGAGGAAAATGGGAGATTTCCACCTGAAACCACTGCAGGATCCAGTGTTAAGTACTCAGCATCTTTGGGGAATGTTTTAAATGAACCCTTTGCATTTGTTTCTTGTGAAAAAAAAACAAAAAAGGTTATTTTTTGTGTGATGGGGTTTCCTTAAGTGTTAAGCTCCAAGAGCTACGTTGCACAAGGTGAATTAACTCGGAGAAGTGGCAGTGTTGAAGTGAATTCCAATGGGATTTGGGTCATTTCCTGTGCTTCTGATGCCCTGAACAAGTAAAGAGTTCTCTTTGGTATTTTCTCTAGCCTGAGTGAGGCAGTATAATCATAATCTTTCAGTATTTTATTAAAAAATATCCATATATTATATATTATTCTCATGAGGAGTTGCATAACTCATCCACCTCCTTCCAAGCTTTCCCTCATGTTTCAGTGATCTTTGGTCTTTTCTTTTTCCCTTTTTGTCCCAGGTTTTATGGACATTTTTCCTCTCTGAATATTTCTCTCTGTCCCCCCCATCACTGCCCATCCTTCTTTCTGTTTGCATTTTAACTCCCATCTGTTCTCACTGATCTTTTTATTCATTTGAGGTCAATTAAGAACTTCTGGGTTAGCTCAGCTTCCATTTGTGGGATTGAAGGGTCAGATCCAGCTCTTTATTTTCATTGTAAACCAAGCAAGAAATCCCACATCACGAGGATGAAGCAGAGTGCTGAACAAAGAGAAGAGCAGAAATAAACATCTGAAGGGAAAGAAAACTGAATTTTCTCTCAGGATTTCTTAAAAAAAGCATAGAAAACTCTCATTTAATAATCCAACATTAATCTTTTAGTCATGGGAACCATTCAGGTGAAAGGACAGGAGTATTAAAATATTCCTATAGGTATCATTTATCCACTATACTCAGAGATGAACTTGCTTCTACAGTATATTCTACTACAGTTATCCATTAATTGCATTGTTAATCGCTTTACATTGTTTCACTGCTCCTTCCTGTCAATAAATACATTTATTTCATGCAGTAACTTGGGGTTTTTTGTACTTTTCTATTTATACTAAGCTCACAACAGAAGGGACAACATGGAAAAGGCAAATTAAGCAGAGCTGGGAAGCGTGGGAAGGTTTTGTTGTTTTGGTTTTTAGGATGGCAGAAATCCTCCAGCATCCCCCTCTGCCACCAGTAATTCCAATATTTCCCAGTTCCTGTCATTCCAAAGGGAAGCAGGACCCAAATTCCTGGCAGAAGGGTTTGGAGGGATCCCGCTGCTCCCCACCCCTGGGACCTCACCCACAGCAGAAACCCAACCCCTCTTTGGTTCTCAGCCTCCAAAAACTGCCCCTGAAACCCTGAATTGCTGCACAGCCACCGTTACTGCACCAAAGGCTTCCCCAGGGCTGCTGGATTTTGCTCAAGGTTATTTTTGCACCTCCCAGAGCCCAAAATCCTGAGCTGAGGAGCGCGGGGAGTGCTGCAGCTGTGGGGAGGGGAGCTGGTGCAGGAAATACTCCAAACCAGTCTGTGAGTGCCAACATCATCCTGAACACGGATGCCAGGGAGAAGAAAGAAGAAGGACAGGGCACACCTAAATCCCTCCATCCTGGAACCCCTGACCCCATGTACGGAATTCCAAACCAATCTGTGAGTGCCACCACCATCCTGAACATGGATGCCAGGGAGAAGAAAGAAGAAGGACAGGGCACGCCCAAATCCCTCCATCCTGGAGCCCCTGACCCCATCTACAGAATTCCAAACCAATCTGTGAGTGCCAACACCATCCTGAACATGGATGCCAGGGAGAAGAAAGAAGAAGGACAGGGCACGCCCAAATCCCTCCATCCTGGAGCCCCTGACCCCATCTACAGAATTCCAAACCCCCTGTACAAAGTCCAAAACCCCCCTGTACAGTGCTCCAAAAGTTTTCCCTTCACCCTGTGATTGCTACTGCTACTCTGTCTAAATTTCCGTGACTTTTAATTCTTCATGCAAAGGTGGTAACTTGTTCCGTGGGTCAAACTCAAAGCCACAGGGGGCTTTGGCTACATTCCAAGGTCTCTGACCCCCTGGCAGGGCTTCAAAGCCCCCTGGCTGGGGTTTGGATCATCCAGGACCGTCAGGGGGATGTCCTGGGTGCTGACAGGGTTCAGGAGAAAAGATGGAGGGATTTGGGTGTTCCTTCCTCCTGCTTCTCCTCGTCCTCCATCTTCTGTGTGGTGCTGGCACTGTTGGATTGGTTCAGGGACAGGCTGTGATAGGAATTGGAAAGTTATTGTAAATAAAGTACAGGCAGTTTTTAGCAGGAAATGTTGGCACCACCCCATGGTGGCCAGCGTGCCACGAACCCGACAGAGCTCAGCGGGTCGGGGAGAAAAATGCGTCAGCAAAGAGAAAATAAACACCCTGGGAAAGCAGAGCCAAGGAATCCCAACTCCTTCTGCCGTCCTGGGGCTGGGGAAAAGAGACTTTTAACACCCCGGGGTCAGCTGGGCCTCAGGGAGCCGGGCAGGGTTCCGTCCCAGCCCAGGCGCGCTCCCAGGGCTGCGACCTTTCCGCGGAATCGTTACTCACTCGTCCCTGCCGCGATCCTCGAGGCTGATAAACTTCTGCAGAACCGAGCAGTTCTTCGAGCTCAGGGCCAGGCTGCTCTTTGCAGAGCTCAGCGCTGGGAAAATCTATCCTGGTGGCATATTTATTATATATTATTTATTTATTTTATTTATTTCCTCCTGTCTGTTTAAACCCAAAAACCTCAGCTGCATTCCCTCACTGGGTAAATAAACTTTGGGGTTTAACCCCCCGTATCACCTCCTCCCCTAGAAGCAGAGATGAAATTTATTTTTTTATCTTTAAATATAAATATAAATAAAATATAAATATAAATACAAATATAAATACAAAATAACTCTAAATATAAATTATTTTAATAATTATATTAAATATAAATATAAATATAAATATAAATATAAATAAATATATAAATATAAATATAACGTTACTCACTCGTCCCTGCCGCGATCCTCGAGGCTGATAAACTTCTGCAGAACCGAGCAGTTCTTCGAGCTCAGGGCCAGGCTGCTCTTTGCAGAGCTCAGCGCTGGGAAAATCTATCCTGGTGGCATATTTATTATATATTATTTATTTATTTTATTTATTTCCTCCTGTCTGTTTAAACCCAAAAACCTCAGCTGCATTCCCTCACTGGGTAAATAAACTTTGGGGTTTAACCCCCCGTATCACCTCCTCCCCTAGAAGCAGAGATGAAATTTATTTTTTTATCTTTAAATATAAATATAAATAAAATATAAATATAAATACAAATATAAATACAAAATAACTCTATATATAAATTATTTTTATAATGATATTAAATATAAATATATAAATATAAATATAAATATAAATATAAATATAAATATAAAAATATAAATACATACATATACATATACATATACATATGCATAATAATAAATAATAAGTAATAAATAGTGAATAACAATAAGTAATACTATATAATCTACATACATAATATATACTACATATTATATAATAATAACATATAATGTATATCATTACTATATAATGTATAACATAAACTATATTTTAAAATATCTTTATATTTTATTTTATTTTTCTAATTTTTTTTAATATTTTAATCTATCTATCTATCTATCTATGAAACATTCCTCTTGTAAAAAC